AAATGTAAGAATGGCGAGGCTAAGGCCGCATGGGGGCTCTGAGCATAGAGGCACATGCCTGTCAACCCAGTCCAAGGCAGGTGAGGAAGGAGATAGTGAGTTTGAACCCAGCCAACCTGGTTGGTGGTTATTTTATCAGTATCAGGCTCCAGGCCCCCAGCACACCCAGCTCAGACTGCACAGAAATCCACAAAACGAACAGAACAACAACTAATAGCAAATCTAGTAAAAAAGGAGAAGGCATGGAAGCCAGGGTTGGAAAGCAGACTGATCCAAGGTTTTCTCTGAGGCCCAGATGAAAGGACAAAGGGAAGAGCAGTTGTGTTGCCGAGGGGCAGACTTGGCAAGGTCTGATCTAGACGGGCGCCAGGGCCTCAAAGGAGTTACAGCTTCAGTTCCTGGGAAAAACGGTTCCTTCCACCCCCACCCCACCCCACCAGGAGCTGTGGTTATCAGTCCTGAGGCAGATGTGTCTGAGGTATCCCGTGTTCTTTAGCCAAAGTTGTCCGACTTAGCTCTCTGCTGACCTTGGCCATTTTCTTCTGCAAACAGTATATAAGATGCTGTATTTCTTAATGAGCTGGCTTGGCATGAGACATGGTTTGTGCACGACCACCTAATCCTAGCTTTCTGTGTTCTCTGTCTTCCCATCTACTGACCCTCCCGCTTAGGACTCTGTACCTCCCTCTCCCTACCCTCTGTCTCATCTGTTTTTGTTTTTTATCATTATTATGTGTCTGGGGTGGGTGTATGTAAATGAGCTGCCTGCTGTGGGCTGGGTACAGGACGCAGGTCCCCTGCAAGAGCAGAAAACGCTCCTAACCACTGAGCTGCTTTCCAGGCCTAGGACTGAAATTTTTCGAAATAAAAAAATATATATATTATTTTCATTTTCACACATATATGTGCATGTATATATATATATATACGTTAAATATTCTTATATATATTTTTATGTCATCTATTTATGTCATATATATGACATAAAATAAACTTAAATTATATAGCATCTTGAAAAAGTAACACCTTGTTACATTTCTAACTAAAACCATTAGCTTTCAACTGCCACCTAGGGGCTGAAGAGTTAAAAGCACCTAAGAAAACCATCTAGCAGGATCTGACCCCTTCTAGCAGGATCTTCTCCCCACTACTGCCCACTTGTTGGGTCCCATAGGGCATGCAAATAATGGGGAGCAGACCACAGGAGTCTAGAAACCAGCAGCAAACTTTATTCCAATCACCATGGGGAACAAGAAACTTCCAGTTTGCTGTGGGCACAGGTCAGAGTTCGGGCTTCTGACACTGTGACAATGGAAACAGGTTTTGAGCCTCTTCTTATACTAAAAATCACTCACAGAGATCCGCCTGCCTCTGCCTCCCAAGTGCTGAGACTAAAGGCGTGCGCCACCACTGTGCATCCCAGGATGTCTGCCTTTAAGGCAGAAAACGCTTGTTAAAGGTTAACAGTAATTGTCAGCTTCAATTCCCCAAAACATGTTAAGGCTTGCAATTTTCTATTCTGGACTCTTCACATTCACTCAAGCAACAGCGACAGAAAGGCCCATCAAGAAAAAACTGGTTCCTCTGGTCAAGCAGACGGAATCTCTGTCTTGGGTGGAGCCCTAACATTCTGAACTACTCAAACATGAATTGATAATCCAGTTAGGCTATTCCACCGCCTGGTCAATGGCTCCTGGGGAGGCAGGACCACCCTTAGAAAGCCAGGCTCAGCTGGGCAATGCTCAGAGAGAGGTGGATCTCTTAGTTCGAGGCCAGCCTGGTCTATAGAGTGAGTTCCAGGACAAGCAGTGATACACAGAGAAACCCTGTCTCAAACAAACAAACAAAAAAGTCAGGTTCACCTTAAGCTTTCTTAAAGAGATAGGTGGAATAACTATCTCTTTAATGAGATTATATATATTTCCTTCCTCTAATCCCCAACACACACACACACACACACACACACACACACACACAAACACACACACGTTAGTATTCAGGCATCTGTACTGACCTGCTCTTGAGGTCCTGACAGGATACGTCCTCAGCTGCACCCACTGAGAGCACCTTTTGTGTACATTCACTATGTTCCCTTTTAAAGGGCCCTTCTCTCTCTCTCTCTCTCTCTCTCTCTCTCTCTCTCTCTCTCTTTCTCTCTCTCTCTCTTTCTCTCTCTCCCTTTCCCTTCCTCTCCCTCCCTCTCCCTCTCTGTCTCTCTGTCTCTCTGTCCCTCCTTCTCCCTCCCTCCTTCCCACCATTCTTGTCACCAGGGACCAGTCTATGCCTCTTCTCTGTCCCCTTCTTTCCCCCTTCTCTCTCCTCTTCCAATAAACCTCCCATGTGAGCCCTCTTGTATGGCGTGACTCTCTCTTCCACCATTTTTAAATAAATAGCTATACCCAGCACGGTCCCAACTAGCAGCCGTGAGTTTGGGTTGGTGTACAAACTGACACCATGACCGCTCCATGGGGGAGGTTTTTATTAGAGATATGAGAGAGTGAACAGTCAGGCCAACTGGAAGAGTCCAGAGCAGAGAGAGAAGCAGACTGAACACGGCCAACAGACTGGTCCTGGCCTCTAGAGAAGCCGGAGTGGAGCAGAGAGACGAGGGGGAGAATAGAGAGAGCAGAGAGATAGCAACAAAGAGAATGAGCTGCTGTTGGGGGGGGGGGGGAAGCCCCCAGCTGGAGGGAGTTTAGGGTAAGGGGGAGGTTAGAAGGCTTAGTATGCTAACTTGGAGGGAGCCTGGAGGCCAGTGAGGGCTTTGGTTTGCTAATAGGCACCACAGACAGACATTTTGGAATTAGAGGAAACGGAGTTTCCTTTGGACTTGCTGGCTGAAAGCTTTTTCTTTATTCTTTCTTTCATACTCTGTCCAGACCTCCATGTTCTTTTTCTGGTGGGCTTCCTTACTGTTTGGTTGAAAGTATCATTTCAGCCCCTAACATCCTTATCAAAAGAAGTCTGGGATGTTTGGTTGGAAGCGTCACCCCAGCTTCTGGCATTTTGGAATGTTGGGTGGAAAGTTCAATTTCAAGCCCCCTTCCCTGGGAGTTGCCTCAGTCCAAACTCTATCTCCGAGAAAGCCCGCCAACCGGTGACCCCTCCCCAGATCCACCCCTATTCCTTAACTTTCTGAGAGTCTAGCCCCATGGCAGAGGTACTGGTCAGAGCCATGTTTATTGCCACAACTCTATGGAGTTTCAAGGTTCTGCCACCACCAAGAAGCAAGCTGTCGGCTATTCATAAACACCTGCCACAAATTGGCACACCATGTTGGGCACCAATATGTTGTATGAGGACGCTTGTGTGTTCCCAGCTGCCCAGACTCCCAAAATAATCACACAGAAACTGTATTAATTAAATCTCTGCTTGGCCCATTAGCTCGAGCTTCTTATTGGCTAACTCTTACATCTTAATTTAACCCATCTTCATTAATCTGTGTATCCCCACGTGGCTGTGGCTTATCGGGTAAAGTTCCAGCATTTGTCTTCAGCAGGGCAACATGTCTTCTCTCTATTCCGCCTTCTTTCTTCCAGTATTCAGTTTAGTTTCCCCGCCTACCTCTGTTCTGCCCTGCTATAGGCTCAAGTCAACTTTCTTTATTCATTAACCAATAAAAGCAACACATAGACAGAAGGACTTTCCACACCACAGCTCCTTCTCCATTACCATGTCTGCCTGTATGCCACCATGTGCCCCCATGATGAAAATGGACTAAACCTTTTCAAACTGTAAGCTGAAGACAGACGCTAAAAAGAAATCCCACACTAGCTCAGAATTGAATGTAATAAAGAGTTATTTATTTAGAGGTAGACTCACAGATCACAGTCCTCTGCTCAAACGGGAAATAGTAACCAAATCCCACCTAATCCCGGTGCTGGAAGAGAGAGGGAGCATGTGCTTTACATAGGCATTTATAGTATAAGGCCACACCCAAGTGGATCAGTAACTTAAAGGCTACTGGCTGTGGGATTTCTTACAGCAGTAAGCCACTCCAATTAAATGTGCTCCTCTCTAAGAGTCATCATGGTCATGGTGTCTCTTCACAGCAGTAGAAACCCTAACTAAGACACCAAGCTCCTTTAGTTCCCAAGTCTGGGTGTTCCACTTGCAGTCAGCTGTGTTAGTCTCATCTTACAGGTGGCATAGTTTCACGGCCCCTCTCACAATTTCCCCAGTGCTCTGTAAACTCTGAGAGCAGGGCTTGACTTTATTCTCCAGCCTCCAGCTCTGGTCTGGCACATGATTCTGTGCTTAGGATATAGAATGGGTTTTCATTTTCTTGTATGTATAATAAATGATTGGGACCCACGAGTGTGACTGTTAGATTTAGAAGTAAAGAGACAGAAGGCAGAACGAGACCAGAAACTGACCTCAACAGGTGAGCCTGTTTATCAGTGCACACAGAGAGGGACAGCCTATCTTTCTCAGGTATGAATGGGTCTGCAAGAAGAAAAAAATGCTGCTTGGGTCCCTATATAGCGGTGACTGAGAGGTTTTGGAATGAGGAAGTTGATGCAGCTGTAGGGGGCTATGTGAGGGTCTTCAGTTTCTTCTTCCTGGAATTGCTTACTTCAAGAAAGACAGATTACCTTGGGAAATGGGCTGTCCCAGCAGACATCTCCTCTGAGTTGTGACTGACCTGTTGCGCAAAGTCAGATGTCATCGCATAGGAATCCTGTTTTTACTTTGGAGACACTCTATCATTGACACAGGACAGTAATTCCAGCATGTAGGAGGTAGAAGCAGGGGGATCAGGAAATAACGGGCTTTCTGGAGAGGTGGAGGCCAACCTGGACTGCATGAGACCTTGTTTTTAACTAATCAATTATAAAGACATAAAACTATTTCAGTTACAAAATCAAGAAACAACAAATTCGGTGCAACGATCCCAAATTTGCAGAAAATCTTTTTATCCTTGTGTTTGCATTGCATTGCTCAAATTCCGGACGACGCAGGACTTGGCCTGGTGGGTGGAGCAAGGACTACAATTCCCATGAATCCTCTGGGTACTACGTAACTCCTGCCAGACAAAACCGGTACAGCATTTCCTAGCTAGCTTTCCGACGCTTCGTAAAACTGAGGTAACGCAGGCTCCGCAGCGAGTACAAAGGTACCCCTCACCCCCAGGGTCTGAAATGGGTGTTAGGGCTCTGACTCAGCCAAAAGGACGAGGTTGCACATCCTCCATTTTTGCAGCTCCCAGCCATGCCTTCCCACTGCCCTTAGTGCCCAGCACTCCGGTCGTTCGAACAATCTCCCTTGTCCCTCCGCTGCCGGCGTAGAAGCCGCATTAACCCGCCACGCAGTGCAGAGGCGGTTTTGGGGTGCGTGGGGAGGGTGTGTGGACCCAGCTCTCAGTCCTGCGCCCTTGGTCTCTCCGCAGCTGATGCTGAGGGCGCAGTTGGCCCGGTGCATGGTCTCCATGGCCACGCGCGCGTGTGTGTCGCGGGACAGCACGGGATCGGCGGCTGGCGGGCCAGTGGAGGCCGCCATCCGCGCCAAGTTGGAGCAAGCCCTGAGCCCCGAGGTGCTGGAGCTGCGCAACGAGAGCGGCGGTCACGCCGTCCCGGCAGGCAGCGAGACGCATTTCCGTGTGGCGGTGGTGAGCTCTCGGTTCGAGGGGCTGAACCCCCTGCAACGGCACCGGTTGGTTCACGCGGCGTTGTCGGAGGAGCTGGCTGGGCCGGTACACGCCCTGGCCATCCAGGCGAAGACCCCCGCCCAGTGGAGGGAGAACCCACAGTTGGACACTAGCCCCCCCTGCCTAGGTGGAAGCAAGAAAACTCGAGGGACCTCCTAATACCAGATTGGGAGAACAACCATCCGAATGGGCCGAATGAAAATAAACCACTAAATCACTACTACCTCATACCTTGATTTGTATGGACTACTACCCTTTTTGCTAACATACACCATGCAGAAGCTCCAGACCAGTGAAAGCTAAGCTAGAGAGAGCAGCTACTCAAAACTGCCCTTGCGTGGGCTAGTCAAGAAGAGCTGCCTGGTCTGATGAGTCGGGAAGGGCCATGAAAATAAAAGAGCAGCTGCCTCGTGGGGTCAAAGCCGTGTTCTTAATATGTTATCATTGTGTGTGTGATGGGGGTACATGACACCACGGAGCTCATGTAGAGGTCAGAGGACAACTCTTGGGAGTTTGGGAAATTGAGGTCATCAGCTTTGCACAGCTGTTAGGCCACTTCAGGCATTTTTGTGAGAAGAAAATTACGTGTAGACTAGAGAAGGGGTTCACAAAGAAGTGAAGTATTTGGTTTTTACTAGGATACCAACAGGCCAGGCAGTGGTGGCACACGCCTTTAATCCCAGCACTCGGGAGGCAGAGGCAGGCAGATCTCTGTGAGTTTGGGGCCAGCCTGGTCTAGAAGAGCCAGTGCCAGGACAGACTCCAAAGCTACAGAGAAACCCTGTCTCGAGGGGGAAAAAAAAAGGATACAAAGATGAAACCAGAAAGGAAGAAATCCCTGCATCTGAAGCAGGAAAAGAGCCAAAACAAACACAGCCTGGTTTTTCAAGGGAAGTTCAGGCGATGCTTAGAAGTGGCTTTTCAATGCCCTGTATATACGGACATTGTCAGAGAAAGGTGTTGCCGACCATAGCTTGGGCCGAGGACGAGGCTCAGTGGCAGAGCACATGACTAGCTCCTCTGAAGCCTTGGGTTTAATCCCAGCAAAGCAGATGTGTATGATATGTCTTAGTATATAACCTTGACCGTTTCTGACTCTAAGCACTTTCTAGATTGGACCTGTTGGGGCAGTTATAAAGGTTTCAGAGCCCCGTGTAGTGGTGCACGCCTTCAGTCCCAGTATGAGGAGCAGAAGCAGGCAGATCTCGTTAAATTCAAGGCCAGGCTGGGTTAAATAGTGAGGCTTGCCTCAAAAATGAGTCAAAATATAATGTGGTTTGATTAAAGAAGCAGTGGACTAGAGTAAAGGGGATCAGGAGCAAGCTGCAGGCTGTGGGAATTCCAGAAAGACACTGCTTAAAACCGGGGGCTGGAGAGCTAGTTCAGCACTTTGGTGCACTTTCTGCTCTTCCAAGAATCCAGGTTTGCTTCCCAGCACCCACAAGGCGCCTCACAACCCGCCTAACTCCAATGGCAGGGTATCTAATGCCCCCTTATGGCCTTGATGGGTACCAGGCACGTGTGCATATACACATGTGCAAGCAAAACACTTGTGCACATAATGTAGAACTTTAAAATAATTCTGAGGCCTCTCAGCTTCCTCAGTGCTCCCCCCCATCCCCGGGAACCAAGGACCTAACAACTACACATGCACGTACTAAAAAGTTGGGAATTATCCATCTCCCCAAGTCCTTGTGAGTGTTCTCCAAATAGAGCTCTGTTCCCGAAATTGGGACAAGATAACCCATAGATGTCCACAGATGACTCAGTTCCTGGGAAAGGGGCAAAAGTAACCCTCAGATGTTCCCTCTTACCTCATCTGATATGGCAACCGCTCTCCAGCCCTGGCTCCAACCACTTGTTATTAGAAGCCCCCCCTGAATAAGCCAATCCTAATAATTGGAAAACTGCCCTCGAGTTTCCTCCCACCCCCCGCCCTTGTTTCTATGGCTTTTCGCTTTAAAAATGGCTTGTAACAGGCATTTGGGGTCCTTGGCATTGAATGCTATTGAATGCTAAGTGACCCTACTGCGATAGAATTCAAATCCTCTTGCTTTTAAATCAATTGAGGTGTGAGAGTGTATTCTTGGGGTGACTCCTCCTCGGTAGTTGGACTTTAGAGTTCAACAATAAGATGCATGTTTGTGTTACTTTTTGCAAGAACAACAAGGGCTCTTAACCCATAGAGTCACCTTTCCAGCCGCCATAAATAAATGTTTTTTAAACAAACAAAAATGTATATTTGAGGTATCCTATTCCACAAGTCAAGACTAATAATAGAGGGGGTTTGTTTATCTTGGCTTTGGAGAAGGAATAGTTTCACCAACACTATTTTACCTTCCCCAGACTGTCCAGGTGCAGTCAAACGCGAGTGGAGAGGCCAAGAAGCTGACAGAGCCACTCTGAGGTTTAAGGATTTGTACCCTTTATTTTTCAGCAGTATTTTTCATTTCGTTTTTCACATCAATGAATCAGGTTTAGGGTTCCCCAGGAGACGAGAAAGTGGATGTGTCTCCCCTGGGGCTGTACGGGAGAGGGCTACGTCCAGCAACGGAATGGTGAGAGAGGGGCACACACGAACACTGGGCACTGGAGGAAGAAGGCAGTCCTCTGAGCAGACACCAGAGTTAAACAGTCACCACCTGGTTCAGTGTTACAAAATCAGGGAATGGCCTTGGGGGCGAGGGCACCAGACGAAGCGTGAGGAGGGCGAGTTTGGATTTTCTTTGTTGTGGTTATTTTAACTTCCTGTTAGCTTTTTAACATTGTACAAACAGCTAAAAACTCGAACACAGCACAGCTACAGAGGGGGCGTGGGGGGGGAATACCAAAGAAAGCAGCCACACTGGGTAGGGAGGAACGGAGAGGCAGCTCTACCTACGGAGGCTGTTCTGTGGAAGGGCGAGATGGGGAAACTGAGGCTTCTGGTCCCTGCATTAGGGGTCCCTCACTGCCCAACCTCTATAAGAAGGGTTGAGGGGAGGACCCCTGCTTCCTGCCCCTGCCCCAACTCCTTGTGCTTTTGGATCTGCTGGTTTGACCTTATGCCTGGTTATTTTCCCTTTTTTCCTCTGGTTCCCTGCCTAGGAGGACAGGTCAGGTGGGAGGGCTGTGGCTAGTGGGTGGAACCTTTCTAGAGAAGGAAGGAGAGTGAGGCCTTGTCAGATGCCCCTAGGTCTCCCTAGATTGCAGGACTCTCATCCCAGCCTGGCTAGTGCTTCTCCCTCCCCCCACCCCCCAGCTCCAAGACAGAAGACTCTGGGAGGTAATGGAGAAGAACAGTGTTGTGTGTGTGTTCACTGACACTACCACCCTTGGCTTATATGTGAACAGTATAGTGGTACCTCTGCCCCATGGCAAACACACGCACATTCACACACACATACACACACATATATATATATATATACACACACACAGAGTCCTGCTAAGCTGCCTCAGAACTTATATATAAATAAGAATCAGAAAACTAATTCCATAAAATCCAGGCTTCACATTTGTAGCCTGAATTGAGGTGAAAATGGAGGCCAGAGGGCTGAGGTTTATTGCTACTCCCCAGCATCCTTGGGAGGTTAGACGGCACCCAAGGCCCTTCCCACTCAAGAAGTTCTTTTGGTCCAAGCCTCAGCCCCCAACATAACTCCATACCTGTGGTTCACCAGGGCCTAGGCAGAGGGAATGAAGGGGAAGGCAGAAGTTCTGGAACCCCTGGAGCAGGGAAACAAGGGCTCCCCACTAACACTGGGGGAGAGAAGGATGCAACCCAACCTTCTCCGGTGCAAAGTCAGGTGGCAGCAGGTGGGGGGTGCCTCCTCCCAAAAGTGGGATGAAGGGACCTTCCCTGTAGTCCCTGCCCATCAGGATCACACACATGCACACTGGCACACACAGCTAAGACACCAAACACAGGGGAGTGAGGACCAGGACGGCAGGGCAGGGAAGGGATCAAAGGAATTATTGGTCTCACAGTGTGCCTGCCGTCCCTAAAGTCCTGAGCCCCTCTCCTCACTGCAGTACCTGCCCCCGGGTCTCTGGCAGCTTCAGGGCCAGAGAGCTACCAAGGGCAAGGGCAGCGGAGGCAAAGAGGATAGGAGCAGCCTTGGTGATTCCCACAAAGGATGTGAAGATGCTGATCCCCAGAACTGCTGCCAGCTTGCACAGGGCATTGAGGAAGCCAAAGGCGGTGGTCCTGCTCAGGAGGCCCCAGTGCCGAGCCACATGGCCGTCGGGGCCCAGAAGAAGGAAGACAGGCAGGTGGAAAAGTGAAGCCGGGAAAGACGGCCAACAGCGTTCAGGAGAGGGAAGGAAGGATGGAGGAATGAGGGGAGGAGGTGGAGAGGCAGACAAACCGGGAGACAGAGAAGGAGACAGAAGCATGGGGTTAGTAGTTAGGAGTACAAGGAATGAACACAGAAGCTCCCAACTGTTAGGGGGAAACTCAACAGGGATGTGTGTCCTGTCCCTAATGACATTCTTCCCATTCAGCCCCCCACTTCACCCTACTTCCCCCGTCCTGCAGCTCCTAAACCTCCTCCCCTGCCCCCACCACACTACCTCTTGTCCGAAGGGTAGAGTTCAACAGTCAGCACGTCCAGCGCGTTCCAGGATGCAATGCTGACCCCCCCAAAAAGGCAGAGCAGAGCGATCATGGCTGACTCGCTGTTCCCAAAAGATAGGAAGAAGCAGGAAACACAGGACATCACGCTGGAACCAGCTGGAACCAGAAGGGAGGCAATGAAACCCAGCCAGCTTGCTTTGAGACACCTCCAGGTAACTGTTTCCCAAGGTCGTCCTCAACGCCTGTGCTTGTTACTATCGGTAGCAGTAACAGCCATTTATTCAATACCAGTTTTGAGACAAGTAACTTGGCGACTCAGATGTACCTACCTGAGACAACAGCCCTCTGAGAGAGGTGCTGCTTTTTCCTACGTTGCTGGTGCAAGCTCACGCAGGGCATAGCCTGCCCAAGGTAAGTGGCAGAGCTGAATTTCCAACCTATAACCTCAGAATCTGTACCCTACTTGCCTGACATTCTCTTTAACCCCCTAGAGTAACTTCTAGGCAAGAACCGCCCCCATTTTGCAGCACCCCTAAATAAAACATGAGAGGAAAAAGCTCGCCCTCTGGCCCATCTCTTCTGCGGCAGGAGGTGAGAAGCCTACTGAGAGCCCGCCTCAGCCCCAGCTGCCTCGATGCTGATCAGCACCCAGCCCTCATCGCCTT